AGTAGTAGTAGTAGTAGTAGTAGTAGTAGTAGTAGTAGTAGTAGTAGCAGTAGCAGTAGCAGTAGCAGTAGCAGTAGCAGTAGTAGTAGTAGTAGTAGTGGTGGTAGCAGCCTGCCGGCCGGCCGGCCGATCGAGAAATAGCGGGCCGCGACAAGCTCGCAATGATATATGTATGTTCTTTCTTCATGTTATTTTTTTGTTATGTATTTATTGCTTTCTTTCTTTATCTATCTTTCTTTCTTCCTTCCTTCTTTCCTTCCTTTCTTTCTGTCTCTCTCTCTCTCTCACTCTCTCTCTCTCTGACCCTCTCTGTCACCCTTCTAGTGAGTATAGGGTCTCAAGGCGAACTTGTGGCACTAAAACACTGAGGAGAGTTAGTTCAAGGGGTGCGGCCAGGCCACCCAGGCAAAGTCTCAAACGGTGCTGATCACTCATGGCTCATACTCATTCAATTAAACATAGCTTCCTGTTCGGTGGATCTCGACTCACTCTCTGCATCTTCGACCTGCGTTTCGACCAGAACGACCACCAAGTTTCTCGGTGCCTTCTGATCTTCCAAGGCCTTGAGTGCCGGCGAGGTCTCTGTCTCCTCCAGCCACTCCAAGGCCACTCTGGCTCCTTTCAGCCAGCCAGCCACGACTTGCAGGGATTCACCCGAGCTTAATGGGCCCAACAAGGCTCCAAAGACCTGCAAGAAAGCAGAGGCGGGCGGCAAAAGCCAGAGATTCTTCAATGTGGTTACTGGTTACTTTACAAGTGAGTTCTACAGAGTCCAGAATATAGGGCCTACATGGGCCTACAGTACATATATACATACTTCTGGCGAAGGTTTTAATGTCTTTCATTTCTGGACACAGCACTCCGACCACCATTCCAGCTACTGAGGCACGGTCTTTTTCCAGCTTCTTTCCAGCTTGAGCTAGCACCTTCGAATCACCAACTTCCACACGTTCACATAGTTATAGTTGAGCAGTGGGCACCCTTTGATAGAATCCCGGTCCCGAGCAAGTCATTAAGTGGACAACTGCTCCACCTTCAAATCATTTCGTGGTCCAACCTGCTCACAGGAGTTCACCATGGTTTGAGCCCCTTGCCGCCACAAGCGCACAGAGTCCAATGGAAGAGCACCATCATCAAAAAGCAAATAGGCGGGAAGTGCCAAGAGTTCCTTCAGCCTGAAGTATAGGAGGACGCATGGAGGTTAGTACGCAAGTACAAGTACTGACATATCTTTAAATGCTGTTTCGGTGCTGTCCAATGGGCCCCTACCTTGCTCAAACACAAGTGACATATCGATTCACTGCTAGTGCATTGATCATAACTACTAATCCAGCATCACCGACACCACACAATGGAGGCATTGGTCTCCTCAGCAAGTCCTTGAATCTGTCAACTAGTCCTCGCTCTTGAGGGCACCGTGGCCTGCCGATCCCATTCATCCCTTCGTTGCGCTTGGGAACTCGGAATCGGCAGGGTGACATACCATCTGCCCCAGCAAATGAACACAAGGAACGTTTGAGCAAGACACGAGGAGACAAGCACATCAGCCAAACCCTCTCATTATCAGTGCCCACGCCAGTCGCGTGCAAAATTGTAAGTGCTCAGGTTCGACCTGGGTATACTTCTGTTTTCCGTGTATATATATATATATATCTATACATATATACAGTTCTGTCATGTTCTGTAGCACTGGTGGCACCAGGAGAGACGTAATGTCCACGAAGTCGGCATCCGAACATAGAAAAAAAAACAAAAACACTCTCTGAGTTGTCTATGCCCGCTTTGACCGCTCCCCGGGGAGCCAGGTGTGGAGCTTCCGGGCAACCTCCACCGGTGTGTCCGACACACCGGTAGAAGCTTCACAAAGGTTCCAGAAGATATATACTCTGCGGCTTGGTTTCATGGTGGTTCATTTGCCTGCACTGCTTAACTTTCTTGAAACTATTGAGTACGCAAGCAGCACTGCACAACTAATCCAGTGTCACCTTGATCACAAGTAATCACAGCAAGAGAGGTCAAATATCCTGGCTGAGACATTTGTGTCCTTAGCGGGGTTTGAAAAGTGTGTGTGTGTGTCCACCCCTGGACAAAGGGTTTCCACCGCCACTTCTTTCACTGTTTTTCCACCACCTTCCACATGCAGGGGGCCAGCGGCCGACAAGCAA